CTTGACCTTGTCTCGCGTAGCTAACTACGTTCTGAATGGATGGCCTGCCCAAAGTAGCGAAGAGCTAAAACCGTACCATGTACGACGTGACGAGTTGTCATTTGAGCAAGGCTGCGTCACCTGGGGCTCAAGGGTGATTGTACCTGAAAAGCTGCAGTCACAGGTTTTGGCACTGTTGCATGAGGACCATCCAGGTGCTAGCCGCATGAAAATGCTTGCCAGAAGTTTTGTATGGTGGCCAGGGCTAGACCTAGAAATCGAGAGCTACGTACGACAGTGTCGCGTATGTCAGTCTGTTCAGAACGCTGCCCCACCTGTACCGTTACAGCCATGGAGCTATCCAACTAAGCCGTGGCAGCGAGTACACGTGGATTTTGCTGTTAAAGAAGGCCATGTCTTCCTAGTACTGGTGGATGCTTTCTCGAAATGGATCGAAGTGTGGTCCATGTCTTCCACCACTACTGGTAAAACACTCGACAAATTGCGAAGTGTATTTGCGGCTTATGGGCTACCAGAGGTACTGGTGAGTGATAACGGACCTCAGTTTGTTTCAGATGAGTTCTCTGAGTTTATGAGGGTGAATGGCATCAAGCACGTTAAGACGCCACCCTATCATGCTGCCTCCAACGGCGCAGCAGAGCGTCTCGTGCAGACCACAAAAAAAACTCTGCTGAAGCAATTGTTAGACGAGAAACAGAGTGGCAAGAAACACTCTTGCTCGAGCGTTTGGATAGCTTTTTACTGAGCTATCGAAACACCCCAAACAGTACCACTGGTCGCACTCCAGCCGAGCTGTTTTTGAAGCGACAGCCACGAGTGAAACTTTCTTTGCTTAAACCCGATTTTGTAAAAGCCATGCAAAACAAACAGCAGCACCTGAAGGAACAGAGTGATGCGTCGCGTGGTGCTAACCGGTCTTTTGTTGTGGGTGATACTGTGTTGGTCAAAACGGTGCGAGGCGAGCTAGTATCATGGGAAGAAGGTGTGGTGACTCAAGTCGTCAGTCCTGTGACATATTTAGTGAAAGTGGCGCAGGTTGTGCGGTTCACACACGCCGACCACATCCGAGACCGCCTTGCAAGCCCGACGTCCCTTGCTGCACCGCCTACGCCGGAGGAGCCTACGCTTCCAGATGTTCCGGTGCCTCGAGAAACCCAGCCGATGGTGCCACAAGTTGCTTCTGCTGCTATGCCAGCGGACTCTCAAGCCGGCAGTCAACAAGCTACACGGACGCGTCAGCAGCCGCTTCCACCACCGAGTTCCACAAGTGCGCCAGTGACGACACCGGAGCCTTGTACTGAGGCACCGACTTCCAGAAGAAGTACGCGAGTGCGGCGTCCACCGGACAGGTACAAACCGGAGGACTTCCGAAGCTGATGTGAGGGGGAAGGAATGTAGCAGCGTGGCGCTGCAAGTCACGGCGCACCACGGCGCATCGGCTGTGCGCACCCCGGTCACGGATGTCACGTGACAAGCGCCTATAAGTATAGCACGTTCAATAAAGAAGCCCTCTTTGCCCGTTGGAATGTCGTCTGCTCAAGTTATCACAGTCTCGAAAAAGGTCTGGCTCAGGCCGAAACTTCGACCTAAATGTAATAAAACTCCACGAAAAGCTTCGAGGTACGTTTACTTTCCTATGCACTTTTCGTCGTCCTACGCAACAGTATTTTTCTATATATATATGGGTGATTTCATCTCAAATCGGGCAGGCTGAAAGTGTCTAATTTTTAATTTTCACGAAAAAAATATATGTTTTGGGGGTATTTCTCAAATGAAGGAGGGCGCAAACCGCATGTTCTCCCGATTTTTTGTTCTTGAGTTATGAGCCGTAGAAGCCGCAGTGGCAGAAACTAGTGTTTTTGCCTGCCGTCGCAGGTCGCGTGTTTGACACCCTCTGCTGACGCTATTGTTTTCTCTACACCCCTTTAAATTTTCCCCCTAATTTAATAGGTATTATAAAGATACCTTGATGTATTCAAATATTTTTAGAAATTTGATTGTTTTCCAAAACACAGGTCAAACTCGTCACTCCGGTCGCTTTTCGGTCAAATTTGACAGGTCATTACTTTGTCTGTACTTAAGGTAAATTTTCTTTCTTTGGCTCTACAGAAAACCCAAAGCAAGCCCATTATAGATATAATAATATCATTACGATCTGTCAACTAGCCGCTCCGCTACCTTCACGTAAACGTTGTAAGAAATAACAAATGTTGAAAGTTTGAGGTCGATTTTCTCAAAAACCCCATTTTTGTAAATTTTTATTTTTTTAAATTCTTTTAGACATATTAGTCGACTACAAGAAAAAACAATCTAGGAATGTAATATTTTGGTTGTATGTCCTCTGTTTGAGCCGCAATCGCGTGAAATGTGTGAACATTTGTTATTTTTCACAACGTTTACGTGAAGGTAGCGGAGCGGCTACTCGGCAGATAATGATATTATTATATCTATAATGGGCTTGCTTTGGGCTTTCTGTCGAGCCAAATAAAGAAAATTTACCTTAAGTACAAAGTAATGACCTGTCAAATTTGACCGAAAAGCGACCGGAGTGACGAGTTTGACATGTTTTCTAGAAAATAATCAAATTCCTAAAACTATTTGAATACATCAAGGTATCTTTATAATACCTATTAAATGAGGGGGCAAAGTTAAAAGGGTGTAGAGAAAACAATAGCGCCAGCAGAGGGTGTCAAACACGCGACCTGCGACGGCAGGCAAAAACACTAGTTTCTGCCACTGCGGCTTCTGCGCTTCGTAACTCGAGAACAAAAAATTTGGGGAACTTGCGGTTTGCGCTCTCATTCATTTGAGAAATGCCCCTAAAACAAATATTTTTTTCGTGAAAATTAAAAGCTGGACCCTTTCAGCCTGCCCGATATGGGAAATTTCATCTCAAATCGGGCAGAATAAAAAAGTATAAATTTTAATTTTCACGAAAAATATATATGTTTTGGGGGCATTTATCAAATAAATGAGGGCGCAAACCGCATGTTCTCCAGATTTCTTGTCCTTCAGTTACGAAGCGTAGAAGCCGCAGTGGCAGAAACTAGAGTTTTTGCCTGCCGTCGGAGGTCGCGTGTTTGACACCCTCTGCTGGCGCCATTGTTTTCTCTACACCTTTTTAACTTTCCCCCCTCATTTAATAGGTATTATAAAGATACCTTGATATATTCAAATAGTTTTAGGAATTTGATTGTTTTCTGAAAAACATGTCAAACTCGTCACTCCGGTCGCTTTTCGGTCAAATTTGACAGGTCATTACTTTGTCTATACTTAAGGTAAATTTTCGTTATTTGGCTCTACAGAAAGCCCAAAGCAAGCCCATTATAGATATAATAATATCATTATTATCTGCAAAGTAGCCGCTCCGCTACTTTCACGTAAACGTTGTGAAAAATAACAAATGTTCACACATTTCACGCGATTGCGGCTCAAACAGAGGACATACAACCAAAATATTACATTTCTAGACTGTTTTTTCTTGTAGTCGACTAATATGTCTAAAATAATTTAAAAAAATAAAAATTTACAAAAATGGGGTTTTTGAGAAAATCGACCTCAAACTTTCAACATTTGTTATTTCTTACAACGTTTACGTGAAGGTAGCGGAGCGGCTAGTCGACAGATCATAATGATATTATTATATCTATAATGGGCTTGCTTTGGGCTTTCTGTAGAGCCAAAGAAAGGAAATTTACCTTAAGTACAGACAAAGTAATGACCTATCAAATTTGACCGAAAAGCGACCGGAGTGACGAGTTTGACCTGTGTTTTAGAAAACAATCAAATTTCTAAAAATATTTGAATACATCAAGGTATCTTTATAATACCTATTAAATTAGGGGGGAAATTTAAAAGGGTGTAGAGAAAACAATAGCGTCAGCAGAGGGTGTCAAACACGCGACCTGTGACGGCAGGCAAAAACACTAGTTTCTGCCACTGCGGCTTCTACGGCTCGTAACTCGAGAACAAAAAATCGGGAGAATATGCGGTTTGCGCCCTCCTTCATTTGAGAAATACCCCCAAAACATATATTTTTTTCGTGAAGATTAAAAATTAGACCCTTTTAGCCTGCCCGATTTGAGATGAAATCACCCATATATATTATTAGTGGGAAATTACGCTTGTGCAAACTGCTGCTGCCTCGCACCAACAGCTTCCAAAGCTCCTTTCAAAATTTTAGATATTCACTCTGCGCATAGTCAGTGGCGCTGGCGGACGGTCATGTGCTTACAATGCGGGTCTTCGTACGTAGCTCATCAATAAATCGAAACGGGCAGGGATGAGAACTGAACTAGAAATTCCTGGGATCTCAAGCGCGGCTTTCATAGATGTCCGCCAATTGCGATGCACTAGAACACCCGGACACCGCATCCCGTAATAAATTTCAAATTGACTGACCTAGCTATGTCATGGAAACATTCGTAACATTTGAACTGTCAATATCAAAGGAGCGTTTGGCGTCATTCAATCGACACCTTTAACCGATGGGTACATAGCTGCGCATCGGCACTCAGCTAACTAACCATCATGCCTTCGTATATATGAAATTATAATATTTGTGTCTGCCCTATGTTTCTCTGTCGGTCCGTCAACGTCGGCTTCAGTGGCACGACATTTTAGTATGACGAAAATACGGCAATACATGCAGGAACGTGATTAAATAAACACAAAGGTAATAAACACAAAGGTATTTATATTTAACAAAACAAATTACTCTAGCACGTGATAGTCGAGACGGAATGTCCAACGTGCCTGAGTGTCCAACGAGACGAAAGATCCAATCGAGGCGGAATGTCCAACGAGCCTGAATGTCCAACGAGACGGAAGGTCCAACCGAGACGGAATGTCCAACGTGCCTGAATATCCATTATCTGATCTTTCGTCTCGTTCGACATTCAGGCTAGGCTCGTAATCCAGACTATACTCCAGGTGCCGACTATAGCCCGGAAAATACAATAAAATATAAATCGTGAGGGCTCACAAATGGGGTAACTCACCTTTTATACGAGGTGATTCAAAGTAGAAGAAATCCCGCGGTGGTCCCAAAAGTCTAGAAAATAAAACTAAAATGAGGAATGTTCGCTTCGGGAACACAACACCGCACACATTCATCCAATGGGTAGAAAACCGGTACTGCACTGAAAGGGAGACGATCAAAGCGGAAAAATGAAACAAAACTACTTCGGCATTAATTTTCGAACAATCAGGAACGTTTGTGCGATGAGTAGTTCCAGTCGTATGCGCCGAGAAACTGAGGGAGAGGAGAAGACTAGAGGGAGCATCAGAACGGCCGAGCTCTGGTCTTGCTTTGCTTTGAAACGTATTTATTTAAACGTTAAAACGCGGAAAGTCGGCGTCCGGCGTTTGGCTCTCGCATTCGACCGCGTTCGGCGAGTGCAGTGCAGACAAGGGCAGCTATAGACCATTCCATATAGCGCTCTCTGGGCGGCACCATTTTCTTCGAAAGCAGCGCCCTCTCCATACATCCGGGAAATTCAGCGGGTTTGGCGGGGTAAAACGAGAGAGAGGGCACGCTCCCGACTCCGCTAGCAGACGACAAAAAGGGAGGTTGCCATTCTCCGTCTTTGGGCTGTAGCGGCGGGCTGTACGGAACATGGAACTCTCGCTCGTGGCTGCCATTGTGAAGTGGTTCGCGTTCTTAGAATAGTTGTGGCTACTCAAAAATCAGCCTAGAGCTTTCTGTTGTTCTACTTCGGTAAATGATCAACTGCCATATCTTTTTTCTTTACTTAAATAGCAGTTGAGTCAGCTGGCAGTACTACCGTCAACTACTGTGTGTATTGCGGCAGGAGAGCACGTTTTATTTATTATTTCAGACATCCACTCATGGTCGCTAAAGGCCTACACCAGTACGAACTTTGTATAGTAAAAAAGGGACAGCCACCGGATTCTTTTCGCCGGAGAGACCGGCCAGTCTGACACAGGTTTCGCTTTTTTTTTATTTGCACGCAGATAACAGCGCAATTGGACTCTGTTAGTCTTGTTTATCTAGCGTAGTAATACACGATAACTGGCATACCAAAATCTGCGCATCTGCGCTTGAAATTCCCAAAATGACGCAATTTTGAACAGAGTTTGTACGCCAGCCGGATGCTAGGTACTGCCCACTCTGCGGAGCAGACGAGATGAGGGCGAGAGGGGAGAGCTTTTTTTTTTTCTCTCTTCTATGACCCTAATGGACCGGTCTATACTCCGTGTCAATAGTTGCGTGCAGTACAGGCGAAGGTAGCGCCAGGCGAGGGGAGAAAGGAAAATCATTAGGGAGGCTGGGGAGGAGGAGAGAAACCTCCTCTCCTTTCTAACTTTCCCAGTGCTCTCCCTTTCTGCACTTTCTTCCCTTGACCTCCTCTTCGCCTGGCGTTGCCTTCGCCTGCACTGCGCACAACTAGCGCAGTGCAGGCGAAGTTGTGCACAACTAGGGGAGAAAGTGATTTTTGATATCCTCGTTTTATTGTCATAATTCAATCTACGAGCTGTAAGCATCCTAAAAACGACATTACATTCATGCGCGACCAATTTGCGTATTAAAAAGGTGATCAAAGATCCCAACACTTACCGTTCGCGCAGACCGACAGATGGTGCTACCGAACCTCGCTGAATACGCTCAAACGGTGGACGGCACTTGTCAGCCACTCACGAGCAATGGGTTCCCGCGTGGACGAGCGGGACTGGTCGGCCGCTCGTCCACACGGAAACTTATCGCTCGCGAGTGACTGACAACCGCAGTCCGTCGTTCGACCATATTCAGCAAGGTTCGGTAGCGCCATCTCTCGTTCTGCGCCAACGGTAATTGTCGGGAGCTTCGACCACGTTTCTAATATGCGAATCGGCCGCAAATGAATGCGATTTTGGGGTTTTTAAGATGTTTAGAGCTCGTAGATTAAGTTATGACCATAAAACGTGGATCTCAGAACGCACTTTAGTGCCCTTTTAACTCACCGCTTACCGCTTTACGCCCCCCCCCCCCCCCCCCCTCCCTTACTATGCACAGCGGAACACATTAGATCAGCAGCGCTGCGACATAAAAAAAATACGGCTGTTCTCCGTTGCTAAAACTCTCTCTCACGGCCCGGTGTGAGCAACACTAACAGGAGCAAGCAAGGTTCGTTCAGAATTTCCATATAAAGCTTACTTCATGAATCAAGAGGTGAGAAATGGGGTCGCGATGCATTTCTTGCAGCAGTAGCCACATCCGTGAGGACCAGGGTCCCAATTGGCCTTTTGGTATGTTCATGCACTCGGCAGTAAGTTTTTACCCAATTAACAGCCTGCCAATTAATTTCGGTTCACATCTCCCAATAGTTGCAGAAGGCTCAGATTAAGAACGTGTCACTAAAGACATCGTGCACTCTGAGCCAACGCCGCTTATCCGCAAGTTCCAGCTACGGAGTCGCCGCCCTGGTGGCCACCCTTCGAAACGCCACTTGAGTGATTGATTTCGCTGTGTATACGGTCGTAGAAGAGGAAAGCGGTGCTAATAAGATTATAAACCAATTATTGGCACATACAAGACGAATACTGAGCGTCGCCAGTGAGCTAAATAGAGCTGGGCGACCTCTATTTCTTTTCTAGTTTTGTGAGACGACATTTCTTGCACACGATCGGCTCCAGCCCTTCCCCAGTAGCATCATTAAGGCGGTGATCGCGTCGTACACGATAACAAGCAGAGGACTACACATTTATTTCGCTTTACACGTTACTGGCATACCGGCACTGCAAAATGATCACCCTCCTGACCGCCATGTTGGCACGATCAGCGCGCCCCCTGTACTCGCTGGAACTTATGGATAGAGAGTAAGAGTGTTGAATTTAGAGTGTCATATACAAGAGGGCGGTGCCCTGATTGAGCGCTGTGTCAGCGTTTGCCTTCCCGTGTTCAATCAGTGAGGACCCACCAAAACGCTGAGGCAGCGCCCAATCTGTGCCCCGCCTCTTGTTGATGATGCCGCAAATTCAGCACTACGGCCTTGCCATTTGGGAGGAGTTCTCTGAGCATGGGCCGGGAACAACAAGCTCAACCCACCTTTTGGAGAGGACGCCATTCTGCAGTGACGCCGAAAACTCGTACTTTCTACCAACACTGAAGACAATGTCAACCGTCCGCGCAGACGAGTTCCAGGATGATATGCGGAAGTCGTGCAGGGCGCTCTTGCACACGGAGGAGCGCTGCGAAAGGGCACATGGTTCACAGTAAGTCATATACCGGGTCGGCAGCCTCGGACTGAGTGCTGACGTTTGGCTACGTGGGGCCAAATTTAGTGTAGTTGAGAGACTACGAAGTTAACTTGAGTCGAGTGTGATGTATACTGGCAACTTGACCTGTGCAGCATCTCTTGACCAGGTGTCTTCAACGTGCTTCATGCAGTTGAGATTACATGAAAGCACACCGATACGGCGTTCATCCAGATCAAGACGAAGCACGGGCGGGAATCTAGTAACTTTTCTTTTTTTTTTTTTTCCTTACGAGGTTTATGCAAAAGCCTTTCTAGTCAAACACCATTACAACACGGACAGCTCCTGTTATACACTCTTAGTAAACAGGGTATCTATAGCCCTCCCTAAAGGTAGGAACGGTCTTGTAACCTATGTTCCTCCATAAAGAGAGAAACTTTCGTCCCTAAAGCAGAAGAGCAAAGTTCCTCCGTCACCTGCATCTCATTATGGCGGCCCTGAATCGAGAAAATCGAGCTCAATAAGGCTTAACGAGGACGCTATGTCTTTTGTACGGGACGAGAGGAACAAAAATAAAGGGCGTAACACGAACTTTCCGCGAACTGCGTTTATTTTCGAAGCCAGCTTCCCCCGGCAGGTAAAGAAACTTCCGTTTCAAAAGCAGTTACTCAGTCTTCTCGTCATCAGCACTGCATGTTAAACGGAGACAACCGATACCCAGTTACTTCGCGCACTTTACGTCTTACCTCTGCTATTCCTCGAGTCACAATTCCTTCGTCAACCGCACATCACGGAGGAATGGTGAACCAACTCGCGAAACCAAAAGCCGCTCTTAAAAGAACTAACTCGAAGCCGCTTTTTTACGGTAACCAGAAATTATCGCGTACCGTGAAAGACGGTTAAATCGCTTGCCAGCAGATGGCAGGGTCAAGCAGAGCAATTGCAAGTAGCTAGGCTAGATGGCGCTAGGTAACGTCCAATTCATGTTCTACAAAAAAAAATATTTCTATTTTCTTCTGTCACCATTGCGCTTCGGGATCTTCGGGAACCTTATTATACACCACATGTAGACACATTCGCATACCCCAAGCATCAGTTGAACGTATATATTAAGCGCATACACAAACACGGCAAAAACAAACATCAGTAAGACAGCACACGAAGCCGATCGCTACTTCCAAGCTCTGCGTTTCTGTTCTTATACTGGTCGTTTTGAACGTGCGGAATTTCTCGGTGACCGCCTAAGCAATAAACATATTCCCAGCATGTTGATTCTTTTTTCAGCAATGTCATATTTCTGAGAGTCTTTTGAACGTCTCAGGGGATGAATCTCATAGTAAAAAGTAAACGCTCATGCCGCAATTATTTGAAATAGAATAAATCAAGCCGCTCCAATGCGGTTCCAAGCCATACATTTGTTTCCCCGCACGACACGTCGCAGGCAGTATTTCTATTGTAGCGTTCGTTTTTTCTATTTGTGCTGTTCGTGTGCGAGTGCATTTGCCGTCTTGAATTAATCTCTGTAGAGCGCATATTCACTCAGCTGGAAGTGATGCTTCACGGACAGAGAAATCGCTTTTCGATAAACTGGAATGCAGTCAAAGTCGCGACTTGCAGCAAGTATTAAAGGGTAACTGCAAAGAAAAAATTTGCTTTTTTAAACAGCCTAATCGGGGATAAGCATGTCTCAAAATATTTTTCCGCGAAAGAAAAAAAAATTTTACAGCAATATTTGTTGCGCGAGACTGATTTCAGTTTGCGACTATTTCGTCCGTTTTAAATCGCGTGCCACAAAGTTGGTATTATACGTCACGTAGTGGCTGCTATACCTCACGGACTGGCTGCTACACGTCACGGAGCGACGTATAGCAGCCAGAACGTGGGACACTAAGTTCCAGTCACACTTGTGCCCGTTACTTCAAAAAAGTAATTAATTACAGTAACAATTACTTCGCATAAAAAGCAGTCTCGGGTAAGTTACTTTTAAAAAGTAATTCGTTACAGTTACTATCAGAAAAAAGTAGCGACGTTACTTTTCAGTTACTTTTCTATAACACAAAAAATAGAAAAAACTCACAACGTTTTATTGCATAAAATTAAAAAGTACGTTTTTTAGTTCATATTGTAACTTAGCAACAGTTGCATCTCAAAGTTGGTGTTTGAAAATTTCCACGCCAGAGTAGTGGCGCAAATCAAAATAAGAAACATGCGCAGTGCGGGGTAGTGGCGCTAATCAAAATACGAGACATGCGCAGTGCCCTCCACGTGTATTGTTTTTTCACGGTTGATTCACCCGATTAAGAAGCGTTAACACAGAAAAAAGAAAAACCACAACATAGATAGGGCTTCAAGACACTAAGATGTAAGTGTTCAGTCACAAAGTACAAGCGCGTGCGTAAAGATAACTAGACATGTTTTCATAAAATCTACACGTGGCTATATTCGGGTCGTGACTCGCGAGAAAGAACGTATTCACAATTCTGTGCAAGGCCAACTTGACACTCGAAATTTTGGAATAGACGATTTGGAAAGTGCAATGAATGGCTAAATTGCACCTCGTTCAGTGATATATTATTCATAAAACACTGAAAAGTAACGACAAAAGTAACGTCTTTACTTTCATCGTTACCTCAGAAAAAAGTAATAGAACTACAGTTACAAGTTACATTTTTAAAAATTAACTCGTTACAGTTACAAGTTACCAAAAAAGTAACGAAGTTACAGTAACACGTTACTAGTAACGCGTTACTACCCCAGACTGCTAAAAAGTAACGGATTATCGTTACAAATTAACCGTTACAAAGTAATCGGTTAATTACTTCGTGACTTTATTCGATTACTTTTGCGTTACTCCAAAGCAACACAAAAAGACACACTATCTACTGCTTGTTTCAAGGGGAAAATTTTGGGCCCCATCAAAATTAAAACAAAAATAAACATATTCATTACTTTCTACCCAATATTTTAAGTTAATAATTTTCGGAGAACGATCTATAAAGTTTTAAAGAATTTGAACAGGTGCTCAAGATAAACGAGCCTTGCGCTGTCCAACCGGGGCAAAACTAAATCCCATGAACATGCGAGGAATGCACTTGGGCGGTGGAGGCACGCACACCTTTCGAATTAATCCGAGTTTGGCGTCGGCGAGCTTCAAAACACGATTTTACTGATGATATGGTTTTTCTATGTTTGCTGCATGTTGCCTATAAAGGGGCTGGTTTACCTAGTAAAACAGACTGACTGTGAGACAAAGATGCGGTACCAGCGTCTGGGTACATTTCAAAGGCTCCTCCTTGATAAAGGTTGTTATCCGACCGAATAGGGCCCACTTGATCTTCTTTCTAAATCACCAACCAAACTTATCAGAACCAAGACGTCACACGAAATACTAATGCACAATTTCTCAACTGAACTGACCTTCCCGATAGCAATGATTAAAAGAAGCCCAATTTTCAGTGAACAGCACGCTTCCATGTCTTTCACGCGTGCACACGCAGGCGGCTTCACAACTCCAGCGCCCAAATGAGTCGCCATTTATTCTCAGAAAATTCGGGCTATGTTTCCTTTCCCTAAAATTTCGGTTTAAGTTCCCGCACGCCCAATCCGCTGACGGCAACCCCAGCATTATCGTTTCTAAGAATACGGGCTCAGTTGGGATGTCCCAAGCCGTTTTGTTGTGCTTCCCGAACAGCAATCCCTGCTGCTGAAATTTTCTGTTTAAACTGACAGCAGGATTGATGCTAGATTTTTCTTTGTTCCAATGCACTGCCGCCACCGGATCTCTCATGTTTTTGCCCTACGCATCCGCTAGTGTGAAGTCAAGCGACAGGAGCCACACAGCTGGTTGGCCCAGCCAGTATTCGACTTTCACAGCTCTGTCAAGGATGAGCAGGGTTGAGGTTTTATTAGAGCTGCCACTCTGTCTGCGGGATGATGTATAGGCGGAAACATCAACAAGCAAAGCACGGTTTCGTTTAAAAAAAATTGTTTTGGGGGAACAAGGCGGGAGGAGTATGGGGAAGAAGGAGGGTAGATGAGAGGAGGAGGGGGGGGAGGGAGCGGACGTACGCACCACGGTCACTCTGTCCACGATCCCACTCGACACGAACCCCACGCCACAGTTTTATGGTTCATTCGTTTTTTGCTCTTTTGTAAGCTCGAAGCAGTCCGTTCGTTTTCCAAGAAGTCGAAGCCTGTTGCCTCTGTGTAGAGCGTCGAATCCTCCCAGCCTGGCTGACCGTGCGAACAAGTCGAGAAACGGTCTCTGGCTGGGCTCTCGTGCTTTCCGCGAATTCCTTTCCCTCACCAGCATCTCGCCAGAATCGTGTGTTACCATGCTAAAAGAGCGAAGCCCGTTGGTATCGCCCTTCTTCCCATCTATTTCTCCCGTTGACGGGACGGAAGAATTGTAACGAGTAATTTTAGTAATTCGTTACTGAAAAAAGTAATGAGATTACATTGCAAATTACATTTTAAAAAAGTAACTGATTAATTATTAAATTACAAGAAAGGTAATTAATTACAAGTAATCCCGTTACTTGTAACGGATTACTTCCAAGTCTGGTCCCAGTTCACCTCGGGTGGTGGTTCATTTGGGCGGACAGGCATGTGAGGAGGCCCGGCCGGGAAGGCCGCTCGCGTCGACTGTCGGTGGATTCGTCCTCCACCTCGGCACCGCCGAGGTCGGGAAGGGGCTGATGGACGGGCACTTCCGTTTGGATTCATACCATAAAAAAACGAAAGCTTCGCCATTCTTTCATGCCCGCTGAAGTCTGTGCTCCCGCCTGTCTCGCCTACCTCGACTAGTCGTTTCGCCGAAGTGATTAGTGTTTCGTGTTGACCCAGGTGCTTGGGTGAGACTCCCTGGGCCCGTGTGCTCGAAGCCGGTTAACTTTAACCGCGCTTAAAAGTTAACCGCCCTTCCCTACTAGGTACCTACAAGTACCTAGCCAAGTTTGACGAGGGTTGGATGGGCGGTAGCTCCGTGTTTTATTATGGGGTGGAAGCTGGTGTCACCTACTGGTTGTAGCGAATGTAAGTGGCTTCCGTGGAAAAGTTCCCGAAAAGGGGGGACCCGAAAACGCGCGCTACCGGGTTTTCGCGACGAAGCGTGACATACATTTGAGTTTAAGAAACATTTTTTGTTGCTCGTAATACACATATTCGGTAAGGTAAAACTAAATTAACTACTTTTTTAAATTTCTAGATCTTTGGCTGTCTGAAGTGAAGACAAGCCTTGACATGGTCCCTACACGGTACATGAAGCACGATTGTCCCGGTAACTCGTTGCTATCGTAGCCTCGACGAAAGCGGTCGTAACGTAGGGCGGTGCAGTTATCCGAACTACGGCGGAACATGCGTATAACCATCACGATGTTCATGCGCACCTTTGAGAGTTGGGACACAACACTCTCCGTCGGAACGGCTTGCAACCACTGCTGCCTTCGGGGTTCATCCTTCGGGAAGGCAAAAACGGGTTTCGCGCTATAAGACCTGTTATCATTTGCTTTGCAGCCCTTTGCAAAGCAGGCTAGGCATTTTCATTCATGCATTCGACGCTCCATGTGAACGTCTAACTTCATCGTCTGCTACAGCAAGACACTCGGCGCGAGCGCCTGCTTCATTCTCTGCTACAACAACCACTGTAGCAGAGAATGCAGCAGACGATGGCGCTCATCTGGGCTACCTAGGGGGCGCTGGGTGGATCCATTAGTGATAACGTTTAGAGAAGGAAACGCGCAGGCATTGTCCCTGGGCCCCAACAATGGACAGCTTCCTGCTGTCCATTGTAGGGGCCCAGGGACTCGTCAAGCTGCTTACTGCAGCTTTTTTTCTTGGGCCCCACCATCATAAAGGATGGAAATAAAGCATTATTATATATTGCAAGAAGCCTCCTAGAAATTAAAAACAAAAATATAACAAGAAAGAGTGCAGCATTCCCATTTATTGCCCATGTTGATGTTACTTTATATCCAAGATTAGGTGAACTAAGTATTGACTTTGTACCTAAAAAAGGCTCTTCGCTATTTTTTTCTTCCTGACACGGTCAAGACAGTAAACACACACAACAAGCGGATTTTGAAATAAAAATGATGCAAAAATAAAATAAAAAGCGTGTAGTAATACCTGATAATAAGCCTCGGTCCCGTAAATCTTAACTTTCGATGTCCGGCAGGCTTCCTTGCATTGTACTCTGCAAAGAAAAAAATAATGCATCTGTGCGTTTGACTGTGACCTACTGCGCTGAAATCTCATGCAACCGCTTAACACACTGGCACCATCTATAGGGTGCACCTGGAACACTACCAAAATGTGTATAAATATACTCCGCTCCACCTTCAGACCGAGCGCAGTAGACGCCACGAGCCATCCCAGCCGATCCAGCGCCGGGAGAAAATTGCGTGACCTGCCGGTTGGGCAGCGACACAGGGAGCTCAAGGTCACATGACACTCTCTCAACGCTGGATTGGCTGGGATTACTCCAAGCGTCCGCTGCGCTTGGACTGTAGGTGAAACGGAGTATAGACAGAATGTGTTGCCGTATTTGCGAAATCAAATCTACGCGCTATCTATGAAAAATGGTAGCTGTAACATTGTCAGATTTAGTTCAATGTGAAAGAATGATGCGTACAAAATTATACGAATATGTGTTCAGGTCAGAAGTGTTTTAGGTCTACCCGACAGACGGCGCCAATGTGCTGAGCGGTTGCAAGAGATCAGAACGCACTCGGTCACAGTGAAACGCAAATGTGCAAAGTAAACTTTCATCTGATGAAGATGACAGTCACAGAATGTGCACCGTGCTCTGAGCTGCGCTAGGTTGGTCTGACACCTGGGAGGTATCATAAACTCAACCCTGAGGCACGGCGACATAATATAACGTACAGCACGACGCTTATTATTTATGTTCATGATGTTGTCAAAGTGCGTGACTGTAAATAAATTGCGGCTGCCTGCTGAAGTGCCGAACTGTTTAATTTTTCTTCATACACTAAATTCGTTTACACTCTTCAGGCTGTAAAAAGGCTTACACTCGTGGCTACACTCTATCAGCACTCATGTTTCATACTCTAGTCACCTCAAGAACCGCAGTAAAAAGGAGCGGCCCCTCGCGGAAAATTAGTAAATCTCCCCTTCGTAAGTTGAATTAAGATGCAGCATAGGTGCATCTTAGATTGACTCTCCGTTATTTCATCAAGACATGCGCGTTTCAAAAGCCCAAATCAACCCATCTTCTTTCGACAATCAAATCTTGTATGAACTAATACGCGCAGTGCATACAAAATGCGCAAAACGTCCTTCTTTTTTATCTGACAAAGAGTATATAGTAATATTGTAATACCCTTCTAATAATTGCGAAGTAGGGTGGTGTTGTTTAGAACACCCTTCATTTGTTGAATTGTATACAAATGACATAGAACATTCCGCGATCCAGTGCAGCGAAGCGGCAATATGTCCGCGTCGAACAGATCTTGCGAAAATTTGTGTGCGACTGTGTCCGATTTTTATTGCCATTACAAGGAGCTCAGCTTGAACACTAAACAAGCACAAAGAGAGGGAACGAACATTGCTTTTCCTAGAAAATAAACTTAATGAATCTCGAGAAATTTTGTTTTTTCTATAAATAGTAATAAAAAAACAATATATACGTGTAACCTTATTAATGAGTGAGGTGGTCACGGGTATTAATGAGTGAGGTGGTCACGGTCACGTAGAGCAATCGATACTAATGACGTCCAAATCGTAGACGAATTACGCCGACTCTCAGAGTCAATGACAGAAATGTCTCGCACTTTCAGTGCCAGACTACAAACCTTAGAGCAAAATGTTCACAGCCGTTTTACGGCAATCGAAGGCATTGTTTCAAAGTGCTCCTCCGAATTGACCCAACTCACCGGTCAAATGAACCAACTCACCAGCCTCTCATTCCAGGCGGGGTCCTCCAGTCCTCCACCACCCCCACTATCCACACCCTACCTCCAACAGTGCATCCCTGAGTATGGCTTTACCTCTCCCCCACCCGCCACGCCTCAGTAGACACCAAACCACTATCTGGCAATGGAACTGCCGCAGCTTCCGACGGAAGCGTGGCAATCTCCAACATTACATACAATCCCTCGAAACGCCCCCCGATATCATAGCGATTCAGGAAACCCGCGGCCTGGTCAAACTTGCCGGCTATAGAACTTTCCAAAATCCTGATAAGGAACACAATACCGCCATCCTCACACGTAGACATCTAACCGCTTCATACAAAAGCCTTGGCGGAGTTGACGTCGAGCACCACTTCTTGGAGATCTTTCCCCAGCGGAAAGACGTCCCCCGTCTCTATATACTAAACGTATACAGCCCCCCGTCAGCTCGCAAACACAGATTTGGCGTTCTCTTTTCCCGTGCCCTAGGGGAGGCGGGTCCTCACGGCCTGGTCATAGTGGGAGACTTCAATGCCTCCCACACGGCCTGGGGTTACAGGACATGCACTCCCAAGGGTCGGAATATATGGACCCAAGCGCAACAACACCGTATCACCCTGCTAACCGACCCCCTCCAGCAAACACAAATAGGTACCAGCGTAACGATCAACACGACACCGGACCTAACTTTCACACACAACACAGCCCTCTTAAACTGGCGAAATCTCAGAGAACCGCTAGGTAGTGACCACTACATACTAGAAACCACGGTAGGGGGGTGCCTTGGGAAATCCCGTCGCAACCACCTCCGCATTACTAAATGGGACGACTTTAGGGCCAGTAGAGAGGCATCTGCAACCGAAACCATTAACAACCTAGAAGAGTGGACCTCCACTATCCTGACAGACATTCAACTGAACACCACGGACATCCCAGACGAAGCCCACTTAGAGGCAATAGACGCCCGCCTCCTTCATCTCTGGGAAGCGAGGTCCAGCCGACATAAGCGATGGAAAACCCAGCGGCACAACCGCAAGTTACGCCGCAAAATAGCCTACTTAGATAGAGAAATTGAACAATATTCCTTGAAGTTACTAACCCAACAATGGGGCCAGATATGCGACAAGATGCAAGGGAAATTGGGGCTTAAGCGCACATGGCTTCTGCTTCGTCACCTCCTTGATCCAACCTCAAGCAAGCACGAGCAGCAGCATCGACTTAATACTTTCCTGCACCAATGGCCGGGGACTGAAGACGAACTCCCCCAGGAACTCCAATCGCGATACATAGGCGTCCCCCGGACTACTTCCTTGCCCCCGTATGCAGGGCCCAGTAACCCCCTCCTGGATTCGGACATTACGGTCCCTGAGGTTCGTGCGGCTCTGCTTCAGCTCCATACCAACTCGACGCCCGGCCCCGACCAAATCAGTAACAAGGCCCTTCGCAACCTGGATGACCGATCCATAGAAGCCCTCACAAAATACATGAATGAATGCTGGAGAACAGGCAATCATCCCCCCGCATGGAAAACCGTAAACATTATCTTTATCCCAAAGCCGGGTAAGACCCTCGCCTTAGAAAACCTCCGGCCGATCTCGCTCACGTCTTGCGCCAGGAAGCTGATGGAGCACGTCACCCTGAATCGCCTCGTGGCGTTCGTGGAGGACAACCATCCCCTCCTTCCGCAGGTGGTGGGCTTTCGAGCCGGCCTCTCAGTCCAGGATGTGATGCTACAGCTTAAGCATCATATCCTACAACCCACTACCTCTCGCGACACCCGAGCCACCCTAGGCCTCGACCTCACCAAGGCTTTTGACAATGTCTCGCACGAGGCAATCCTTACTAACCTAGCCGCCATTAACCCAGGCCCCCGCATGTACGGGTACATCAAGGCTTTCTTAACTGACAGGCAGGCAATCATTACACTAGGGTCCCTCACCTCCGATCCCGTACAACTGGGAAGCTACGGTACTCCCCAAGGCTCCGCACTTTCCCCCTTCCTTTTCAACTTAGGCCTTTTACCCCTTCCGGCTAAACTTAACACACTTCCGGGACTTCATTGTAGTCTCTATGCAGACGACATTACGCTGTGGATGGGAGGTGGCAGCGATGGACACATTGAGGCCACGCTACAGTCCGCCGTGGACATCATAGCAGTACACGCGGGAGCGGCCAACTTATCTCGCTTTCCACAAAAGTCCGAACTCCTCCTACTGCGCCCCAGCAGAGTGGCCACGACCCCTCCCGAAATCAGGTTGCAAGTAAACAACCATCTCATCCCTGAAGTTCCTACCATACGAGTTCTGGGCCTCCTAATCCAAAACAACTGCAAGAATGCACAAGCATTACAAAAACTACAAATAAGCGTAGATCAAAAGCTCCGACTCATTCATCGAATCTCCTCACGACATCATGGCCTCAAGGAGCAGGGGATGCTGTCACAGAAACCGGCTGTTCCAGAAACCGACAGGAGTCGAGCAGACGTCTGCGGAAGAATAATGTCTAAGGAAGTAAACGACCGCCTTCGGCGGATGAGCTCGCGGCCAGGCGCGTGTCAGGTTACGCAGGGAGCGCTCCGTTGAAGCGACCGCATGTTCGGTGTTTCTTGGTATACACAACCTAGAGTGGTTTTGGGGGGTACACAGGCCTCTACAGCCCCAGATCTACGAGGCGAGCTGGAGGCTCGCTGTTGGAATGTGTTTTCGTCAGCGCTCGAATTGCCTGGCGGGTCTTAGTGTTTAGAAGAACCCTGCTTTAGGGTCAGGGGTCAGACCGAGGGAGCAACAACCTACCGAGGGAACAAAGAGAGTGCGGTAACCGCGGGGTCGCTAGGACTGGGAGTGCGAGAGAGAACTCTAAGGCGGACGGTCGCATCGCGACGTCGAGGAATGCGGCGAGACCCTGTGGACGGCCCCACGCCAGGCACCGGACGAAGCTTCCAGTGAGTGTGCGACCGCAAAAAGTGGGCATGCGGGGCCAGTGAGCCGCGCCCACAGTGTGCCAAGCCACCCGCCGGAATTTTTCCACCTCGGACGGACCGCGCAGGGAGACGCCAGCACCTCTACGCCAGATGAGACTTTTTCTTTGCACTCACCTATTCTCCTATTTTAGTTTACCATTATAAGGACTCTTTTAAACTTAATATTTTTCTAGTACTGTCTAGGACCCCGAGCATGAAATTGTAAACCGTTATACTGTGTGTAGCTGTGCTATCTTCCGTTTGATGTCTACGTGATTTTTGCATATTATATAGCGCCTAATTATTTCCCAACCCCTGTCAAATTAAACAGCATTTATATATCC